CAAAAATGACTGGAAAGTTGATGCTCCACATCTCTGTAGGTATTTATTCATCCAAAGAGGAAAATTACATTTGCTTTTCAATGCAGCTATACTATTGCTTTACAATGAATCTGCTGTTTATTTACAACTGGATAGATTCCACAGCTCAACAGAAATGCCAGTGCAAAATAAGAAAATAGCACAATCCATATAACATTACTCCAACCAGAATAAAAATACATACATACATACAGTACAATGAATAGCAAAAGAGAGACACATTAAAATTTTACATATTTAACATCCAATGATTTGAAGGGTTTTGATATATTTAGGTGTAGTATTATAAATTATGAATAGCAGTGCTGGCTGTTAATAACAGTCCAGTAATTTGAGATAAATCACCTGATTTTAAGCTTTTTACTTTTAAGTTTATGAAAAGGTGGTTAATCAGGAAAAAGTTTAGTTAAAGTTGGTAAACCAAAATATCCTTAAATTTAGTACACCAGATGGAGGAAAACAGGTACCCATGTGCAATGTAAACCATACACATACTTTGTGTATGGTAGATCTTTGAAATGTGCAGTTTAAAGTCTTTCCTGTAATCACTGCCAGTGCCAGTGCCTATCATAAATCAGGCTTGCTCCATACTAGATGACCATTTCTACTGCAGGACGACGCTGTAAATAATAGTGAGGTGGTATTCTTTCCACTATGCAGTGAGGCTGTAGAACTTAATTGTCAGTTATTTCTGGGAAATCTTTGCTCTGAGTCACATTATTTTAAAATGCAGCTTATGCATGCATATTGAGCCTTTATAATATGTCTAGAAAAACGATACTCATACAGCCAGATGGATGGTGATGTTTGTTTGGTCTAGACTGCCCACAACAGCACACACTCATCTGTCTAACTTCACACTAACAGTGCCATTTTATGGCATTTATTTTTATTCCCTTCAGTTCTTTGTTATCTTGGCTCCACTGAGCCTAAAGCTTATAAACTAAAAGCTCACTTGCACACATACAAAGGCATTCATATAAGCTTATAAGCCTGACTCACATACACACTGTGCCAGATCTCCTTTGTGTCAATAGTGCTGAAATGTGTTTTGAATATTTTCAGCTTGACCAAGCCTTACATCGCCTCAGCCAATCAGGAGTGGTTGCAGGCAGTCACACCACCTGTACGCCCACCCTTTCCTGGGTTCACTTACTGGGGAAAGATTTGGCTTTACATCCATTCACGTATCAGGAAATTAATAGCAGGAACAGACCAATGTTAACATTTGTTTGGATTTTGTTAGAGGCCACCTGATGAAAACATCTTACTAGCTGTTTTTGTTTTCACATACTCATTTCTGCTAATTGAAGTCACTAAACAGGTCTTTTTTTAAAATGGTGCTGGGGCTTTTAGAAGCATTTAAATGCAATGCTATGACAAATCTGGCTTGGATTTCTTTTAACACAAATTCTGAAATGAGGTTGTGTTAGTGAGTGAAATTCTAGTTCATAAAGATAAAACTTGCTAGCCAGGTTTTTTGTTAATAGCTGCTAACTTACTACTTTTGTTTCCACTTCTGGCATCATAAAACCAATATGTTGATGTATACAAGGGTAAACTGAAGAACCTAAAATTGTAGTCCACAAACCAATTGGTGACATCATGGATAATTCTTTCTGTGTATTTGTGACTGCTTTCAAAATGAATTCCCTTGTTTAACTCACTGGAAATGAGGAGATCATTAGTGCAGCTTTAACAATGCCATTAAATACATGACTTATTGACTGTAAACAAAATAATGAATGCAGAGACCTACATAAATTTTGAAAGCTATGATGAGCTCATAAAGATAACGTTAAAATAAAATAGTACAAACAAATAAATCAATGTTAAACAATAAAAGCATATTTACAAGACATAATATGAAAACACATTGTCTTTAGCCCTATTCCTCAAAAATGCTCACCTTCATTTCCTGTAATCATTCCACAGATACATAACTGAGATGCATGATGTGCTTCTGAATAACACTGGCAAGAGGAATCACAGTGCAGAAAACATACCAAAAAATACATAAATAAATCAGTCGCGCTTATCCGAAGCTTTTATGCAAAGTGTGCTACAGCATCACAATAAATGTGTGACCCCTGTTTGTTCACTCGTAGAGCTATAGAGCTCAGTCCTGGAAAGCAGTTCATTTTGGTCTTTTCTTTGGATCCTTCACTATAAAGCAGAACTGGAACATGTGGCAGTTATGTGCTTTCTGAAAAGTGTCTGGGTTAAAGCTGACACATTGTTGGTCAAGAAAAAATAAATGCATATTGGAGTATAAAACAACTTAAGAGCAATTTTACAGCATTAGTCCCAGTATTATTTTTCATAGCTTGATCGCATTTAGAATGACAGTTTGTGTCCATGTAAGACCCATTTCATTAGCTTTAAATACTGCATTTGGACTTTTTAAATTCAATTATTTCTTTGCAAAGCTGGCAGAAGAATAGCTCTTAATTTAAAGTACCATTCTTCTGGCATTTTATTATTTTTAATAGAAACTGTTTAATTGAGCTCAGCAGAATTTCAATCTTGTTTTCAGCAGCTGTTGTTTTAAAGTCCTTCAAGGAAAGCTACTCCTTATACGTCTGTATTCACTACATTCCAGCAGTGACTTTGTGGCTGCTGTATAATTGATTTTTTTCTGCAGCCACACTGTTTTGGCCTTTCTGATCCACCAGCAACAGATTTCCTACTAAGCCCAGAATGCAACCTGCTGAGAGTCTGAACTTGATGGATTTAACCTGTGGGCAAACCATTACGTTTCAGCAGGAGATGAAGACTAAGTGATCACAAAAAGCAGAGTCATTCCACTGTCTAAAATGACAACATGTCTTCCAGCTCTGGCTGAAGAATGTTCTTTCTGGCTTTCACAGGTCTGTGTATGATTGGAGAATATTAACAATGGAACTTTTGGGAATGGAATTTTCTGGGATTCCTAGAACATAAACAGCCAGTGTGTATCTTTACAGGACTATTCCCATTAAGTTTTATTTACTTTCTCCTAGTTTGTTGTTCATGGATTGTCAGTACTACTTTTTTTCTTCTCTTTGACATCACCTCCCAACCAAGTGTAGCAGATGGCTCCTTGTCCCTGAGCTTGGTCCTGCTGGAGGTTCATTACCACTTCACAGTGTCACCAAGTGCTTTCTCACACAGAACTATCAGGCCATCTGTATTTTCTCTAATATAGCAGAGGTTTTATCTTCCCGTGTGAAACAGTTTTAGGTGATACAGTGGGGCAAAAAAGTATTTAGTCAGCCACCGATTGTGCAAGTTCCCCCACTTAAAATGATGACAGAGGTCAGTAATTTGCACCAGAGGTACACTTCAACTGTGAGAGACAGAATGTGAAAAAAAAATCCATGAATCCACATGGTAGGATTTGTAAAGAATTTATTTGTAAATTAGGGTGGAAAATAAGTATTTGGTCACCTCAAACAAGGAAAATCTCTGGCTCTCACAGACCTGTAACGTCTTCTGTAAGAAGCTTTTCTGTCCCCCACTCGTTACCTGTATGAATGGCACCTGTTTGAACTCATCATCTGTATAAAAGACACCTGTCCACAGCCTCAAACAGTCAGACTCCAAACTCCGCCATGGCCAAGACCAAAGAGCTTTTGAAGGACACCAGGAAAAGTATTGTAGACCTGCACCAGACTGGGAAGAGTGAATCTACAATAGGCAAGCAGCTTGGTGTGAAAAAATCAACTGTGGGAGCAATCATCAGAAAATGGAAGACATACAAGACCACTGATAATCTCCCTCGATCTGGGGCTCCACGCAAGATCTCATCCCGTGGGGTCAAAATGATCATGAGAACGGTGAGCAAAGATCCCAGAACCACACGGGGGGACCTGGTGAATGACCTGCAGAGAGCTGGGACCAAAGTAACAAAGGTCACCATCAGTAACACACTACAACGGCAGGGAATCAAATCCCGCAGTGCCAGACGTGTTCCGCTGCTGAAGCCAGTGCATGTCCAGGCCCGTCTGAAGTTTGCCAGAGAGCACATGGATGATACAGCAGAGGATTGGGAGAATGTCATGTGGTCAGATGAAACCAAAGTAGAACTTTTTGGTATAAACTCAACTCGTCGTGTTTGGAGGAAGAAGAATACTGAGTTGCATCCCAAGAACACCATACCTACTGTGAAGCATGGGGGTGGAAACATCATGCTATGGGGCTGTTTTTCTGCCAAGGGGACAGGACGACTGATCCGTGTTAAGGACAGAATGAATGGGGCCATGTATCGTGAGATTTTGAGCCAAAACCTCCTTCCATCAGTGAGAACTTTGAAGATGAAACGAGGCTGGGTCTTCCAACATGACAATGATCCAAAACACACCGCCCGGGCAACAAAGGAGTGGCCTAGCCAGTCTCCAGACCTCAACCCCATAGAAAATCTGTGGCGGGAGTTGAAAGTCCGTGTTGCTCGGCGACAGCCCCAAAACATCACTGCTCTCGAGAAGATCTGCATGGAGGAATGGGCCAAAGTACCAGCTACTGTGTGTGCAAACCTGGTAAAGACCTATAGTAAACGTTTGACCTCTGTTATTGCCAACAAAGGTTATGTTACAAAGTATTGAGTTGTATTTTTGTTATTGACCAAATACTTATTTTCCACCCTGATTTACGAATAAATTCTTTACAAATCCTACCATGTGGATTCATGGATTTTTTTTTTCACATTCTGTCTCTCACAGTTGAAGTGTACCTCTGGTGCAAATTACTGACCTCTGTCATCATTTTAGGTGGGGGAACTTGCACAATCGGTGGCTGACTAAATACTTTTTTGCCCCACTGTATATAAAAATATAATAAAATCAAGTTGGTTTAATTCAGACCGACGACCTGTCCAGGGTGTACCCTGTCTCTCACCCTCTGGCGGCTGGGATAGGCGCCATCTACTACAGTTTCCTTGTAGTACAACTTTAATTGTTCTGCAAGTTTTTATTTAAATTACTTTAACTGGTAACCTCTCCATTATCAAGTAAATCTTGACAGTAAAAAAAGGAAATCAAATTACCCAGGAATGTACTTCATTAGTTAGTTTATACAGCTCATTGATACAGTAATATTAGAAATATTAACTCATATTCCAGTACAGCTTTTCCAAAGCAAATAGTAAGAATTTTACAGTATGTACAAGTGTGGTATGCAAACTTAATTCAAGCTAATTCAAGCTAATGTTATCACGGAAATGATGAATATGTATGAGAACTTCTACTGATCATAAGTGCCAAAAAATAATGCTAAAGTCTTCAGTTTAACCTGCAAAATATTATTTCTGTTTTATTTTGTCCGTTTAGATACTGGTATCCCTTGATTATGCAAGATGAACATATGAGGTTTTTATGGCTTCACACAGTGACTGTGGCTTCACAGACCTCTCGTTGCCAAGGTATGCAGGCTGAGGTTTCTAGAAATCACACTCCCCCTGGCTTAAATTTCTATGTCAATACCAGACATTCCCAAACATTTAACCTCCCATGAAAAGACTTCAGGCAAGACTGTGCACATTTGGGAGAGACAGAAAATGGTTTGACATTATTTTAAGGAGTATTTTGTCTTTTTATTTAAGTAGGCATTTTATATTGAGAAGGAGAGGTAATTTCAACATGGCTATAATAGAAAAAAAAAACCAAGTGAAATTACAAGTTACAGGAAAAGAAAAAAAAATCGAGAAACTAATATTCTACATATTATATCTGTCTCAATAGGCTTGAACGCTTACACAAATTTCTCCAAAAGCGATAGATCAAAAACTGCTCATTGAGTATGTTTTTATTGAGCAGTAAGCATCTATATGAAGAATCTATGGGACAAGTATTTACTGTATGTGACTGCAGATAAGATGAACTAATTCCAGTTTTTCTGTATCAGCAATCATAATCCCGCACCATAGTAAATAGAAATGTGCAAACACTTGACCAGGAGTTGTTGCAGAACTCCTCTGCTCTCTTCCTGTTATCAGCTTGACAGGATTTTACAGCTTTGACTGGAGAAGTTGGGGTATACAGTGGAGAAGTCTTCACCCTCTGTGTTACATTCAGTCTGAAATGAGCCTCTCTGGCAGCTCTTCTGCACATACCTGCCCTGACAAAAGCACTGCTGTCCTGGCAGAGACTGTTTAGCTTCTTCAGCTCCCTCCCGATCTGCTTCCAGTAAAGTTTAACATTTGAGGCATACTCAGGACAAGCAGTAGGTCTGGCAATATACTCGCAGCTGAAGCTCCTGTCCTCCTTCTTACACGTGATGCTGAGAATGACGATATCTTCACCTGTTGCAACCCAAGCACATTCGAACTTGTCTTTGGTGACCACTTTGCCTCTCATGAGCTGTGCAGAGACGGGCTTTGTTTGGCGGCCCACTTTTGCTCCCGACCTATTCTTGTGCTGTCCTTTGTCCATGCCTCGTCCCCTCCGTCCACCGCTCTTCTGGCAGCTACCCAACATCACCTGATGGGAAATACAAGCCAAGACCAGGAGGATGGTGACGTTTGTGAGGAGAGCCATGAAATCAGTAGAACACAACCTGCCAAAGGATTAAATCAGATTTAGATATTTGACCTTAAAACCCTTTAATTTCCCTTTGGAGAAAGACATGTCTTAATCCCTCTGTTAAACTAACATTTCAAATGGAAACTGAATGTTGTGGGAATAGTTTTGGTTTTAGACAGCACAAAAAAGCATTAAGTATTTTTTGTACAGCACATGCAAGACAATTTCAAGTCAAAGAGGTATTTCGAAGAACAAAAAGAAAAATGCAAAGATGCAATCTAAAAATTATTCCATAAACGGAATTTTGAAAAAACATGGAGCACATGCACCTTTTAATTTGACTTTAAGAAAGGAAGAGGTTTAAAAACTGTTAAAAAGAAGCACAGATTTAAATACTGATTAAAAAATAAAAATGTAAATGCATCATATTACAATTGTGATGGTGCAATTATCCCTTGATTATGCAGTTATATCGCCTACAGTATAACTACAACAGTTATAAACAAAATACAGACTAGTAAATATTGGAAATAGAGATAAAGACAATGTGTTTAACAGGTATTTTATAAATATTGAACCTGGCAACAAGGATTTCACAGAATGCATTTTACAAAAACTTAACTGTGAGCACATTAAATATATACTAGGCTGATGTAAGTAGCACACCCCAAATATTATTGCCAGATTAGAGTGCAGCTTAAGTTATGGTGCTTTTCCTTACCTGAAGTTTTTAGAGAAACTTCGGTTTGCAGTCCTCACACATGAGAGTGTTGCCCTTACTTGCAGATTGCAATATGCTGCCACATAATCATCCCTCCCCTTCAAATATATACACTTGCACTCACACGCTCAGTCACACACCCTCACACACACACAGCATGACTGAAGAGCTTATAAAGTTTATTGAGGTCTCGAATAGATTAGGGATACTTTGAACCTGGTACCTGTGTCATCAAACTAAACTGTGTGTGTGTGTGTGGGGGGGGGAAAGACATTTAAAATTACATGGCTGATAGAAAATGAAATTACCCTAATACATAATAAAAACTTTTTATAAACACTGTCAATTTAGAACCAAAACTTCATCAACCCACAAATGATACAAGTGTTAAACTTGTTTGCAGCTTCTATGGACCTGAATAATCATGAGCACTTGCAAGGCTTATGTTAAGCTCCCAAAACTAAAAGTTATCTGTTGTTCCAGATTTTCTGCTTCAAGTTCCACCTGCTTTAGTATAATCTAAGTTCATATTTTAAACAAATGCAAATAACCTAGAGTCTTAAAGGACCTTCACAGGGCCATCTGTAAGTGCACCGTGCCAGAGATGAAATGGCTTTGAATATCTTGAAAGGAGCCAGATGTTTCTGCTGGATAAAACTGCTGATTGATTGAACTTAGTCTCAAAGCACCAAACACCTAATGGTCACATACGGTACAGTAGACGAGTCATATGGCTTAAAAATATTAAACTGCACACTGCCATAAGACATAACATCCTAGACAACTCATTTTCACAAATACTGCCGCTTGCAGTTTTATTATCTAATATTTTTAATCAGGAATGTTAATGAAATGACATTAATCAGCACATAGAGATTGAAAATGGTTATTTAATAAAACATTTTCACATTTATACATATTTTGGGACAAATACACCAGCATGGAAAACCAGAGCAAAAAAAATAAAACAATCCCCCAACAATTCTGAAGGTAATATTGAGTGATGCAAACAGATAATATACAAGTAATAAACATAATAAACATACATTATATGTTAAAGCAGTATCATTCAGTACAGGCTGTTCATGCAAAACATTTGTCATTATATAGTCAAGTGAGACCTTTAAGTTCTTCCAGCTTGGCTCTTAATGGAGGCTGATAATTGTTGGTTTGAGTGAGAGGAGTACTTGAAAGTCACTGTAATAGCACAGCTTGCCCTGAAGAGGGTGTTACAGTTCTACAACAGGCTAACAAACTCCTCGTTTGGAATTTTCCTCCAAGGGCTGCTTGAGCCAGACGCCAAGTTATCTTCATTAGCGGTTAAAAGCTGTGAATATAACACATAAGGTGTGCAAGGTGGAAACTGGGTGCATAGGCAATATAATTAAGAGCAGCAAAATAAATAAATAAAAAAAATGCTGGAATCTAACTTAATTAAATAGCCTCATTCTAGATTAGTTATAAATGAATATTTTTTAAAAAAGTGTTGCATGTTAACAAACAGGCCCAGTACTGCTGCTCACCTTTCTGGTTAATTACGAAACAAACCAATGAAGAACGAGCAGATGCCCTGCAGCGACCTCCAGCAATTCTGCCGAGCCATTCTTTTAGCGTTGCTCTCAACAGCAGGTGTTGTTGGTGGTGGTTGAGGACTAGTTTCCTGAGTGGTCTTTTCTTTTTGTGGCTCTTGAATGGATTTTGCGTCAGCTTGTCTTGTTGGTGTAGGCCGACGTTGAGGTCTTGCTACTTTCCTAGAAGAAGCCTCTGCTCGTGACTGGGAGAATGAAGATGATGAGAAGACCATCTGAGAGTCATCAGTTGCCTTCCTGCACATGTGAGGTTTAATCTGTCTTGGTGCTTGGCAGGCATTGTCCAGCTTTCTCAGGTTCCACATCATCTGCACGAAATAGTGTCGAGGATTTTTGTTGTAAGGGGTGCAGGTGTGAGGCTTGCCTATGTAGTCACACCAGTAAGAGCGCTTGTTCCTCTGGCATGACAGTCTCAGCCTCGTGAATTCCCCTTGACCGGTGACAATCATGGTGCATGAGTCTTTAGCCTTGGTGCTGAATTTGATAGGTGGATCCCAAATGCTTTGACCCCTTTCAGTCTGAGCCTCAGCTGGCCAGAGGCAGCAGGCGAGCAGCAGAGCAGCGGTCTGGGCCCACATAGTTTCCAATGGGTGCTAAATGTGAAACTACTGGAAATGAGCGTCCCTCCTGCTTTTTATTGGCCAAGCAAAGAAGGAATTCAGGTTCCAAAAAAAAAAAGAAAAAAAGAAAACAACCCAGTAGACTAAAAGAGGCCAGCTCCATGGGAGGAGGAGAGTGGCCTTACCAGTTACAGCTGCCAGAAAAAGGAAAGCGCTACGTGCAAAACGATGCTGACACATGTAGGTGTTCTGTTTAAAAAAAAAAAAAAAGAAGTACATCCTCTCATGCATGTAACCACTTCTCAGTCATGTTAAATTTACCTCATGGAAAAACATCTTAGTTTCACTTGTTAATAAAAGTTCATTGCAGAATGCAGGCTTAAAATGTCTTGCTTGCTGTAGAAAACAGTAATAACTCTTAACGATGTAGTGCAACCTATTTTCCTAAAAGATCTAAAGTATAAAGAGAAGTGTGAGAAGCCACTCAGACATTGGTCATAAAGTGTATTATGAGTGTCTTTAAGAGGCTTTATTTTCTGGGTCCATCTGTATCTGCATTGAGAGTGCTGTCAGTGATAGAAGAACAAGACATGGTACTCAAAGAATCTATACAGGCAGTATAACTTCCAGGGTTTTAGTGTTTTGAGACTAAGAAGCAATATATCATTGAACTGCATTTAGACCACAATTTTAGAATAGCTAAAAATTATATTCAGTTGTGAATTTTCCATCAGTAATTTGTCTCAGTTTCTAGATGCAAGAGATGAAACTCTTCAGCTATAGTGCCGGTTGGTGCCAAACACAATATTAGCAGAGTTTCTTCTTAAAATATTCACTACCCTTCCCTGTGAATGTTTCCATTTCCCTGAAATATCAGCATGTTCATTCCCACACTTGAAAATCATAATATGTGGGCTGCCCACTGTGCATAACGACAGTGATATCAGAGCTCAATTTTGTCCTGTAAAGGCAAAAGTATGGTGGCCAGGTGAGCTCACTACACTATAAGGAAACATCATTAATTTTTCATTGAATGTGCAAAATACAACATAACCAAATAAATAAAATCTATTTATTTAGGAAATGGAGTAACACCTGCAAATTGCATGTGGCAGAGCGATACTCATCAGTGGTGCTGAAAAACAATGAAAAAATGTCTTTTGTGTTTCCTGAAAAATTTTCCATTGTGTTCTTTATAGTTGCGCTGTGTATATTTTAAAACTATGTCTGAAGTACCCTCCCCGGCACAGCGTTTGATCTGATGTAAACACACTGAAGAGGGTTTCTCTGAACCGCTGCTTCTGTTTTTATGTAGTTTTGTGCTCATCTCTCTCTACACAAGCCTTTTTAGAAGTAGGGCTGCTATGCGGTTGTAGTGGTGGTGGTTATTCATATACTGAACTATTTAATGTCTCAGAAAACCTCCAACCAGAGGAACAAACAAATGCTTATGGAAGATGATAACCTCTTATAGAAATAGCTGACCAGTAACATAACAGTGGCAGCACCACATAAGAATGTGCACTCTTGCGTTAAACTGTTTTCCTTTTTAAGTTTTTTTGTCCTGTTTGTTAGAAAACCAAATAAAGAAAAAATGAAATTGTTGTGAACTACATTTGCCCATTTAAAACAAGTTGATCCAAACTGTATGGCTCATTCAAAACACAGACCACAAAAGAAAAATGTCACTGAAATGCAAACTTTGGATTTTAAAACTTTATTCACAATTTATACACTTTCTTTCCATCACATCATATAAACCTACTCTTCAGTGGCTCCATCAGTGCCCAACTTTGGAGCATCACAGTTCAAACCAGTTACCGCTGTATCTGATCCATCCAGGGTTAGCATACAGGATATCTAGTGTAAGCACTTAGTAAATTCAAACATTTTTCTCTCACATCCAAACTTTCACAGAAACCCAATGATAGTCCTGTGAGCACACGGATACTTCAAAAATGTCCATTTTAACAAGAAATGTGTCTCAAAATAAAAAGAACATCAGTGACTCAATAGAAGCCCGTCTGTGTTTAAAGTTCAATATAATTCAGAAACTTCATCTTGATGCTGGGAGTTTCCTACACTGCAAATATGTTCTATTACTACATCATAATTTAGGTTTATCTATACAGAGTATTTCTTTTCTCATCGTCACTTAGCCCTGGTTTACAATAACACAGCTTTGGAAATTAAAATATTGAAATAAGATAAATAAACTGGATATTTCAGTCATATTTCTGATGCTAATTCATTGATGCCAATGTTAGAGACAAATATACTTATCATAATAACTTTTATTTTCCCCTAAATTAATGATTGTGTGGTACTTGAAAGAACAACTGTGCTATGTTAACAGAAATATATGTTTCAGTGTTAAGATGGACATTTTTTTTTGAGAGTGTGCATCAACACCATGCTGTGCAAAACATGAAGCATGCTTATTTTTCTACTCTTGATTGACAGCACTCACTATTCCCAATCATGGATTGTCTAATTTCTTTTCGCCATCATTACTCTGCTAACAGCAGCTGCAAATCTAACCTGTAAACATAAGGGCAAAGAGAGTGGGACAACTGGATGTGTTTGCCCGTTGCGTTACACATAGATTTCAGCATATTTCTCAACTTCCATATCAAGCAATGTGAAATAAAAAGAAAATAGCTCTTGAATACATTCACTTTTTTCATAGCTTTAAATGTATCCATAGCTACTGTGGGTTTATACAAAGCAGAGGAACAAAATAAGCACATAGTTGATAGACCCCTAAAGACCTGAGAACTACAGTTTAAAAATAAAAAAAAAAAAGAAAGAAAGAAAGAAATAAAGAAAAGATTTGGCTTGAGAATTATTCTCCACTGTAAAAGTATCACCACTACGAAAAAACAAATCATAATAAAAATATGTTAGTGAACTCAACAAAACTTGGTCCCATGTGACAAAGGATTCAATCTGCCACACAGGGAACCTAAAAGCCAGACATATGTCTGTTTGTGTTTTGAATTTAGTCTATGATTTAAAG